TTTCTCCTTGCTACGCATTCAAAAAACATACAACACAGTCAAATTACACACGGGTGTCTCATAGTTATTCATTGAATATCATAAATAGGTTTATTTTTACCTGATTTCTATGTATTTTTAAATATATTCTTATTTTAAGACTATTTATAAATCTTTAAACTATTTTGTTGATTAAAAAAATAAAAATAGATACTAATTTTTGTACACACTACAGATGTTACAAAGGTACAAAATTAACATTTTTAAAACTTACATAGTGCCAGCGATCAATTATTTTATTATGATAAATAACACATTCAATACATAATGTATAAATTCGTTAATATTCGTGATGAAATGTATACAATTAATTAATTGTAAGGAATCGATTAAATAAAAATAACTTTTTTCATTTAATTTAGGCACATTCTAAAATTAACGACAAAAATGATATTATTTAGTAACATTTTGTTAATTTACATATTCATATTCGTCAATTAGTATTGTTTTCTGTTTTAATATAGAAATAAAATAAAATAATACTAATGTGAGAATATTATAAGTGAAATCGTGATGAATATTTTCACCCGATGGAGAGGTATGTGCATGTACACAATCGTGACGTACTTATGTTTAAATGGAGCAAAAAGCTATATCATTCCGGAAAATATAAAAAACGAAAATGTTCTATACATTTTTAAATGGGGATAAAAAATAAAAACTATTACAGAAACGGTAGGCACAGTGTTTTTTCTCGCACTACTAGTCGCGTACCGTACCTATTATTATATTGTTGTTGTTGTTTTTTTTCTTTTTCTATTTTATAGTTAGTATTGTCAGTTCTCTGACCAGTCTCGTCCTTATCAACAACGTACGTATAATATTATATGGGAGATCGACGGGAGTATAAACGTAGCGTGTCGGTACGTGCCAACAGTGTACACGAACTAACCGTAAAATTCGAGTTACTCTTACACACACTTCAGCGCACGAGCAGTTGATGTTGGGCTTTTTTCATATACATTATTATATCATTGTCCACGCGCAGAGAAGATACACCGTGCTTAGAACACGAGTACCGTCGAAATAAATAATAATAAAAAAATAATAACAATAATAACGATAAAAAAATCCGATTCATTTTGTAGCCATGAACATAATACGACGAGTATAATGTGCCATACCGAGGTAATTGGACCATTTTCGACGAGCAGTACCTATATACCTAACGTACAACGTGTATTTCCATGTAACGTCCGCGACGACGACGTCACAACCGAACCGACAAAAAGTGCGGCGGGTACCTAAACACAGGCTCGATGATACGAAATTCATGACGGTCGATCGTCGTTTTGAACGACGTAGTCGTATAATATGAGAGCGCGTTCAAATTGAAATATACATATATTATTGTTATTATTTTTTTTTTTTTTTTTTATGTTATACACATTACACGAACATTTAATAAGGTTAACGATCTGTCGAAAAACGACGAGTGTTGATGCCACAGCAGCAGCTATTATTATTATCATACACAGGTGCTCCAGTGCAGTTCGGCGCAGAACAATGTCCGACAACTCGGGCAAATAACACTCAAAAACAACACATACGGCTGTGTAATTGTAATTATTTTATGATTCGTATATATCATGTGTGTACACGTTATAATACTACGTACGCAATTACAATGAAGAAGAAGAAGACAAAAATACAACACACACATTCCACCGTGGGAATATACTATAACTTACGGGAAGTATAATAACGACGCGCGGCGGTCGCACTCAAGTTGAAAACTGCACGTATAATAATAATAATTCACAGTGCCTTAAAATAAACCTCACGCGGGCAACAATTAATACGAGCACATTATATTATCTGTATAACGTCTTTTGGTGTGTGTGAAAATTAGATAGAAGAATTAAACACTTTCAGTAATGCTCTTCTCTTACGATGTGCATGCATGTATCTCGTACAAATATCTAGTGTATATATTATTATTCGTATACCGTAAACCTGAACATAAACACACACATTCACGTAAATTTGGTATAATAATTACATATTTTTCAGATGGAAACAATACACTGGTGCTACACACACACACATACAAAACGCACATAAACATGTGGGTATGTGTTTAAAAATAAGGTTTCACATTTTGTACACAAACGTGAAAACAATAATCACGTGTGAGAATTATTATGAGTTGCTAGTGTGATTTTGGTAGCGAAATGTATATTATTAATATACGCACAACTCAACCCTTGATTACAAATAAACAGTTTTCAGAAAAATTAATTTTGCTTTCTCGTTTTTAATTTGCAGCTCTCCTCTATTATATTTTATACTTTGATACAGTTAAAATTACCCACACACTTTTTTTTCACCGAATAAAATGTTTAATAATAATAGAACATTGAATTGTTCTTTTGTAATTTGAAGTATATTAGTTATTATGCTTATTATTTTGAAATTTATAAGTGCACTGAAATTAAGATCTTTTAAATTACATCACAAAAATATTAAAAAAATTATTAGATTAGGTAAGTTGTACCTATGCTAAACTATTACAGTTAATTGAAAATGCTTTTATAAGGAAAAACTACATTAATATAAAAAAATTCAAACAAATCTAACACCAAATTAATTTTTTTTACATTATCAGCAATTTTATGATCATTTTCAACATCGTAAAAAATCTATTCACATTAATATCTGATTTTAAATAAAAATTACTATTTGTTGGTTAATTTTTCACTTGGTGCACATTATAAATTATTTTATAATGAGAAAAATTGTATTTAAGAAAATTGTACAAGTTATTCTTTATACTTTTGATTTTACGTCAGGAAGTTACACGAGTATACTCGTTAGTATGATAGTGCGACACTGTTCAAGTCTCCGACTACAAACCAATAATAACGTGTTTTCCGTTTTAAATGGGAGTGCCTCGAACCATAACAATACTATTAAGTGGTTATTTCCTCATGAATCAATCAATGGGTATATTATTAATAACAACAATGTTTATGTTTATCTTTCTTCGATTATTTTAATACATTTAAAAATAAACAAATGATACATGCAATAGTATCATAACTGAATCAGTATATACTCGTATACTATGTTGTCGAAAAAATAAAATAAATTGAAGACTTACATTGGGAAAATTTCCTTGCTTATCTATATATTCTCAATTGAAACCGTGCTTAATAAAATAAAAGATTACAAAATTAATTTAGTATATTATCATACGATATAATATAATTAAATGGAATGAATTAAAAAAAAATGTTTAGTTATATTATTTGAAGTTTATGGTTATCACATGTTTTTATGGAACCGTTTATTTCAAACGATTAGTTGAAGAATAGTAAATTTCCAAATAAATAAAACAGTTTAATAACGTTAATGATTAATTTTGTATCAAACTATGAATATAAACATAAAAATATCACGAGGCACTAAAAAGTACACGTTTATTATTTTAAGTACCTACAATTTTCATTTTGTATTAGAATATATTATTTAAAGATGTAAAATAGTTCATATTATATAATTACAGTAAGCAAAATAAAATAGAATATAGCTTAACCATATTCTTAAAAGAATATTTTATTAATTTTTCAACTGAATTTCATCGTAAAATAATCATAAATAATATTGGAACATCTCTTTTTAATGGAATGTAAGAAAAATCCAAGATTATTATTTAGGCACAACAACTCTTTTAATTTCATGAAAACTTAAAATTTAGTTTACAACATTTTAGGTAAAATTATAATAATTTCATTATATTTTACTTACTGCACTTTAATTTTTGTACAAATAATTTTAATTTATAATAAAAATTTTTTAAACAATCTCTGTTTAACTCCTAATTGTTTTTTATTTACCATAATTGTAACTGTTAGTACGGTTTATACATTTCACATTAGTGTTTTAAATTATGAATAATTTAAGATTATACTACATTATTCAAATGCTAATCGACCAAAACTAGGACCATTTTATAATCAAGTTATACAAAAAAAATGTTTTAACTGATTTCCACACGTGTGGTCAGTTATCATATCTCACGACCAATTAACCAGCGGGAACAGTATCGCGTACAATGTTGACAGAACCATGACTGCGTACCCAAATAGGGGAACGGTTACAGTGTCGGGTAATTATTTCGTCTAAAGAGTATAAATGTAAATGGAGCTGTAACCGCACGGAATGCATTGGACCAAGGGCGCCCATAAGAAAATTCTCAAGAGAGGACAACATTTTAATTTAACAATCTATTCATAAATAGAAATGACCCGCGATATAGGAAGGGGTTTACAATTTTACATTATACTATTACATTATATATATATCAAACTGGAAGATTATAAAATAATAATTATTTAACCAATTTACCATAAAAGTAATTTATTGAAATTTTTATTTAGTTAATAATATAAATTGGACACTTAAACATTAGTTATATTTATTAAAATATTTTAATTTACAAATATTATATAAATATTATGGTTGTGTACACACACACATAAACATACCGTATTTTTGGAAATACTCAAATTTTAAGAATTGATAATTATCCTTAGAATAGAAACGAAAAAGCGTATTGTTATTTATAGGTGATAACTTGATTTTCCAAACTAAATAGATTTTTCATAAAAAAATTATAAATTTTCATATATTAAATTAAATTTTTAAATTTTATATAAATAAATATTTTCTGATCATAGTAAACAATTTTTCAAGATTTGTGACATTTTCCAGGGGGGAAATGTCTCTCCTTTGCCTCCCCTCATATGGGCACCTTTGCATTAAACCAATGCAGACGCGCAAATAAAACAATATTACACACCTAACCGCGGTCGATTGGTTCTTCGCGGTCTAACATCTTCCGAACGATATTGTTGTAACCGGCGATCGAATACGAAACACATCGACGTGATAACGTTTAAAAAAAAAAATGTTTATTGACATGTTAGTAGATTATTTTGCGATTCGTGTGTACTCACGTCTGTGTCATCCAGGAAAGAGAATACATCCAATTTGTCCATGCGCACGGTGCCTTGGAACGGATAGATGAGAGTCCCTCTGGACACGTTCACGTTCGTCATCACGGTGATTTCGGGTTCCAAGTGTCTCTTGTTGGTCCTGGGCGCGTTAGCTTGCGCCGGCACTGCCTGCAAGGACAGTTCCTTCGGTATGAGCACGCACGTTTCCATCACACTATACTACGGTCGCAGCCGACGGTGTACCGCGGAAACGAAAACACGATATTGTCCGCGGTCGGTACACTGCGCGCGCGCGAATTCGATGTCGGGAGAAAACTACGGAAAAACCCGTCGGGTCGAGTGCGTTCGTTTGCTTTTCAGACGTTCGGTTTGCCCATTGTCGCGGTGATGCTATTATTATTGCTGTCCGAAGTCATCGGTCGACGCGGATAACAGTTTAAAACGCGTTCATCGTGACACAGTTTATTGGACCGTATTGTACGCCGAAATCGGGGGGGGGGGGCGCACGCGGAAAATACACCGGTATCGATACGGTAGGTACACTGCAAAAGTTGGGGCGATAGGGTCGAACACCGGTGTGGTCACTAAAAACGAAACAAAAAAAAACTGAAAGAAAATTAAAAATCAATCAACCGATTACGCGAAGATCGCAGCGACGAGAACGACTACTGCCGGACACACGCGCGCGGGCCAGACTCGCACCACTTGCCCACCGTTGCTACTGGTACCGCGGTTATTACCGGTGCTGCTCGCGCAACGACTGATGTGCACACTGCGAGTGTACTGGTCGCCACTGGGTGTATGTGTGTGTGTGCGCGCGCGAGACGTCGGTCGAACGACTACCGAAGAAGTGCAAGGCCGCGCGCGGTAGCGTCCACGGAGAGCCCACGTGCGGCCTAACCTGAAGGGCAAGACGATGGGAGGCGCGGACGCGACCGGCCGTGCACGCCCACCCGGTGACGTGTCGGCCAATCGCCGGCGCCCGTCCGATTCTCCCGCCGCCGCGGTCCGAGGCGAAATGTTCCACACGTAATTCGTATTACAATATCATTTGAATAACAATGCACATGCGTGTAGGCACGTGCGTTATGCGAACAGTGCCAATACAATCATTAATCGTATGTGTTACGTACCGATTATAACAATTATATTGTATACATAATATTGAGAACGAATCCGCACGGCCAACGCTGGATGTTGGGCGAACGATTTGGGTCCGGATACGACGAGGAAATCCATAGGTAACACCGAATAACTGTTACCGAATATTAAATAATTTCTTATTACCACACTTGCAATTTCCGACCTCTTTGGGAACGTCGATCGGTTCAACGATTATTCCATGTCCTACGGTAACCGTACGTCATTGTTATCGTTTTTAACTATCGTTTAATTATTTGACCGACACATCTATGTTACGGATTTTTTCACACGGTCATGGTGCGATCGCTACCGATCTACCGCGTTTGTACTCATTGCTCATATCGTTTATATGGTCACGAACATGATTTCCCGCGCATGACGACTTTCAACCGTTCAAAGATGTGACGGTAAGTCATATTAGTCTTTCAACCCTTTCCGTGACAAAAACGCGAATCCTATCTTTTTATCATAACCATGCTGTTGGTTTACGATTATGTTATGACTCTGAGGTATAAAATACAATTAAAATTCAGATTTAAATTCAATAAAATAATTTTAAAAGATTAAAATATCGCTTTTATTTTATTCTTACGCATAGTTAATTGTATCGTGTTCCGTTCAATAATGCATTTATATGTAAATTTGCTTAATTATACGAAATAACTATATTATTATATGTACACGTTATCAACTATATTTTATAGCTTTGACCTATGAGTCGAGAATTTACTCAATGTAAAATCTTGAATTAATATTGTACTATTTGGCCTGGAAATATAATTGTATATGAATCATATACTTTTAAATGTACCAAGTAATTTTTTAAAGGGTTAAAAATAAATTTTTTTACGGATACATTAAATTCCAGCCATCATTTGTATTTCAATTGATACAATTTAATAATAATTTTGTATTTTACGCAAGGTTTAACTTATATTTATGGTACCTATAGGCGAAATAATTATTTAACATCATAATGTAATTATTCCATTAGTCTCATGCCGAGTTGGGCATTAGTCGAATAAAATATTATTCGATTAATTATTTGAATAAAAAATTATTCTTCATTGATTTATTCTTAATTTTATTATTGATTTTTATTTTTATTCATTATTTAGTTTGTATTATTATTCCGTTATTCATTACTCGGTTATTCGTTATTCCCTATAATCATATAAATAATAAATTTAAATCCTTAATAACGATGTATAATAATAATAGATTTATTATTTATTATTATTTATTATTTAGACTTAAATAATATATATATAAAGGTAATACATATTAATACATATAATAATTGAAAAAAATAAATTAAATATACTTTTATATTTAATATCATTATTTAATTAATATCATTCATGATTTTGACGAATTTATTCCGAATAATTGTTTTATTCACGAATAGAACTATTCAGAATAATTTTATTCTTTATTCAGTATACCACAATTATTCAGAATAAAAAATTATTTTTTATTCATAAATAAATTAGTTATTCATGCTTTTATTTTGATTTGTTTTTGCCCAACTCTGGTCTCATGTGAGCCGTAATCGTGTCCATACAAAACTGAGTTTACACATTTTTTTTCAAAATATCACCATTTGAATAATGCCACTCACCTTTTGCAGTTCGGCAATTTTTGACGGATAAAAAAATTTCTACAGTTCCATAACCTCCGTATTCACCAGATATTGCTTCATGTGACTTCAGGCTGTTTCTAAACCTAAAACTTGGACTCAAAGGTGAACGTTTTGCGACGATTGAAGACATTAAACTTAATGCCATAGCAAATCTCAGGGCCATTCCAATACAGGGATATCAAAGATGTTTCCATCAGTTAAAAAGTCGTTGAGGTAAGTGTATTTGTGCTAAAGAACGATATTTTAAAGAAGATTAAGTAGATTTATATTTAAATTGTATATATAAAAAAATAAAATGAAATTCCGGGAACTTTTTGATCCTACTACGTACAGCATTTAGTGTAATACTATAAAAAAAATAATATTTTTGGTTTTCTGATTTAATGTTTAAATAAACAGAATTTTTTTTTTTTTGAAAAAAAAACTTAGAGATGGTTGGTCAGGTAGTTTTATATATATATATATATATGCATTGGCCAAGCGTTACATACTCGGTAACAGTAAAATACTTTGTTTTTATTCAACTCTGAATGGAATATTATTCCCATTTGAAATCAGAAATCACTAAGTTGATTACTATGTAATGATATTTTTAAATTATTAATATCAATAAGACATATTTAATTTGGGCTATCCATAAATGTGTATATATATTCCATTAGATAATATAATGTAAAAAAGATAAACAACTGTTGATCAATATTAATTTCACATATTACGATTTTTTGCGTTGAAGATTCGGATGTGCTATTTTTTATGTTTTTGTCATGAAAAAGGTACTGATGGGAAAAAAAAGTAACGCCGCAAAATAAATGCATAAGCAACTAAATATACCTAACTATTTGTCTTTATCTGAAATACAATATCATATCCAGCTAGCCATGACACAAAATAGTGTCAATCGAATTGTTCGATTTATTTTTCTTTAAAATATATTGAATTTCACAATATTTCTGATCTATGAATTCCCAAACAAAACTAAGCGTAAAAAGTTTAAAATATTATTAAGCAAGGAAAAGAGTTGTAAAATTGTATTATGACCAGGGTTCGGATTTTATAGCATTTGTTACTTATTATAAGATATAGTTAAATATAGCAGAGTGAGCTATTCATTTGTGTTATTAACCAGGGACTCCAAATTAGAAATTTAATTTTGCTATTTTTTGCATATTTGAAGTATTTTAGATTTTTAGTGCTATTTTTGAAATTGTCATCATTCAAGGTAAAACAAGTATAGGTACATAAAACAAGACGTACATAAAAGTTTTTTAAAATTGTTAACAGAAGATGGGGTAAGTTTAATTTTTTTTATTAATGTATTACCTTATAAAATAATATAATGCATTTGATAAAATTTTGACTTACATTTTTTTTTTTTTTTTTTTTTGCTATTTTTATTGTTTTAGGGCATATTTATAGAACATATTTTAAGGTTTTTTTAGTCATATTATAGCGCATATTTTAATATTTTCGGTGCTATTAAATCTGAACCCTGATTATGACTATGTATAAATGTATTATAATATGTATAAATACTATGACTTCTTACTTTCTGCTTATAATCACATTTAATAATAATAAAAAATCTTTTATCTGTTGGGGTGTATTATAAGTGTAAAGGATTTGTTGGCTCTTGACTAGTATCTAATTGAGAAACATAATTAACATTGTATTAGCTATTTTAATAATACATCAATTAAAATTTCATCATAAAAAGTTCAATAAAATTGTTTTATTCTAAAAGCATTCATCATTTTGGTTTAAATTTTATCTTACTTTATACATTGAATAAATCATTATAATTGTTCCTCTCCTTAAAAATCGTAATATATAATTACACGCAGTATCTTAAAATATATATTTTATCAAAGAAACAACTTTAAAGAAAGTTATGTTTTTCGTACAATAAAGAATTTTGGTAAATTTTAAATTTTAAGTGCTCAAAAATACTATCATAGGTGTTTATATAAAATATATTATTAATATATAAGAAATTTAAAATCCATTAAAAATGTGCATTATATGTTTAATCAGAATCGTTAAATCTTTCAAAGTGTTACCTCAACTAATATTAAAATTTAAGAATTATTTAAAAATAATATGTTTATAATATTAAAAAAAAAAAAAAGGCGGACAATCAAATAAATAAGCGAATATAATTTTAAGGTCAGCTTATGCGCACACACATAATACAATGTTTAGTTAAATTTAAAGACAACGATTTACATTATCATCCGTGATATTATTCGAATACATTGTTTAAATGTATCAAATTATACTAGTATGGTTAGTTTTTGGGAATTCCTTATATTTCAAAGTGAATTGTATTTTTGAGGATCGATGCGAATGATTTTAGGTTACTAGGCAGTGGTGTAGCCAAAGGGGTGGACCAACGTAGCTATATTCCCCCCTTACGAGTTTTGTTTATGTGAGTTTACTATACTAGTATACTACTATTTGATATTTAAATATTTTAAAACGTTGATATTAATTAAACGTTGACGAATAACAGATGTTTGTCTTTGGTACCTAAGCTTATTATTTCTACTGTGATAACTAGTATATTTTTAGTTGTTATCATGAATATTGTGATGACTCTCGTCAACACTATTGTTGTATAATCACTATAGTTTTTATACCATTTTATTTCGCGGCAATACCGTTAATTTATTATTATAAATTATGTTTTAATAAATACAATTACAACTGTTTTAAAACTCCGGAAATACATTTACAATCTTGGTAGGAGGAAGGGGTTGAAGAATGACTTCTCTTATCTTCTTTTACCTAACCAGCCTTAGTAAATTAACCCCGTCCATTTAAAAATCTTAGCTATGCCACTGTTATTGGATTTAGATTATTGGGTATGTTATTAGAGCTGTTGAAGTAATTCTGTAATGCACACGTTTTTATATGGGCACTCGAGTACCTACATCTTATTATATTTAAGCATTAGCAGTAAGAACGGGCCCTGTATTTCCATTGATTATAATACATGGTGGTAATCCTCTAGTAATGGTTTCCATCCAACACATGAATAATTTATCTATTTTCTCATTAGTTCTTGGAGTCGATCTGAAAAATATAATAATTCGTTAATTAAATTATATTATAAAACAAATTTTATTACTTACAATATGATAAGATCAGATTTTAATGAATGCAGTTCAATTAAATCTCTTAAAAACAACATATCGGCAACGTTCTCTTTATGTAAATTATATTCATGAAATTGATTTCCTAAAAAAAAATAATCACCAATTTAATATTAAATAAATTATATTTTAATTCAAATACCTAAAAGATAATGATTTAATTCTGTATATTATAAATAATTATTGATCTATTTATAACATCAAATACTAAACTAAAACGGCAAATTAGTTATCTATGATAAGTGACGGTTTTTGATTCTTTTTGTTTTCTAAGCATAACAAAAAATATTTATCTTTCACATGTATGTTTAATTGTATTTTCTATGAATACTGAGAGTTAAATTTTCACCAAACGTTATGTGTGGCATTAATTTATAGATTGAACATTTTATAAAATAAAATATTATACTTAAATTTAAGTGTTATGATGAAACTTATATGTGTCTAGTATTATAATATACATTGTATATATAAGAATATGTGAATGGAGGATTAAATAATTAATTTAAGGCCTTAGATATTTAGCTATTTAAATATGCAATTTATGTAATACGCAAGTATTTCTCTATTTTCAATAATATTTTTAAATTATATTTGTTACCTTCAGGATTTACATGTTCTAGTAGAGTGGTAAAATATGTCATTGTTGTAGGATCAGTGGTGCTGGTTAAAATTACATCCAAATAATCGAAATGCACTCGATACATGGATAACAGTTGTTTTAATCTAAAAAAGTTAAAAATAATGTACATTAAAATGGGTCAAGTATATTTTTCTAACGGGAAAATAATATTGATTACTTGATTTTTTCCTTAGTCAAGCATTCGATTTTATCCGTTACGCCGAAAATTCGAAATTTACAGTTTTTCCATGTCGAACTTGATTGTAGTATACATGCAAGAATTAAAGCTAAACCTACAATATATCCATAAATACCATAATTCAACACAATGGACATTGATGCATTTGATTAGTATTTTACTGAAGGCTATAGGTGTTTGAATAATACAAACCTCCATCATTGTACAACCACCACACATCCACTGTTCCGTAGGCTCGTTTTTTCTTATTGACAAATAAAAATTCACAGTCCTTTATGTTTACGAAGCAATCGGATACCCTAAATAATATGTATATTATATTGTATATATAAACATATATTTTAGTGGTCTACTTTTGATGGTTGGGGTTATTTTGATTTGATGTTTTATATGGATCTTCTTTATTTTTTAAATTCTTGAGATTTTGAACAATTAGATTTTGTTTTTTGCAACCATCAGTTGATGAAACGCGGGCTATGATTGTTGCGATACCATTCATATTCGCAACACTAAAACGTTATATATTAATTTGTTTTAATATAATCCATATAAAAACGAACGAGAATAAAATGAACATTTATAAAAATACTTGAAAATATTTAAATAAGTTCGAAGATCTTCATATGGACAATTCAACCAGTCGGATTTATATCCAACCAAAACTATATTTGTCCTTATTTGTCCGTGGCCACAACCATGTACCATATGAGTTGCTACATCTAAATCGGTGTTATCAAGTATAATATACAGGGATTTTATTTTGGATTTTTTTAACCACATAATTCCACGGTCCAGTAGTATTTTCTTTTGCTCGATTGTAAGTGATCCCTTTATAAATTTATTCATAATTTCAACATATTTTAATATTTAATAATCATTTGATTATGTATAAATAAAAACCAACCCTTTCCACGTTGACACTCGTTTGGACACCATTGTTCTTAGTAATCAAATGAGCTAAAGAAATTAACATTTTCCTTGATTCGGGATTTCCAGAAAGCACCATTACATTTGGTAGAAAGTTTTTTACGTGAAATCGTATAGTATTCGCATTGTATATACTATTTATAACAACTTTTAAAAGTTGTGTTTGTATTGAAGATCCCCAATTTAACACTTGATTTTATAAGAACCAATATAAAGATAATAATTAAAATGACTTGTTATGTATTATTTATATTTAATAACTGTAATTACTATTACCGTCATGTTTTCTGGCTGCAATTTTGTACAAAATGCATACAGCACAAACAACAATTGCTGACATTTGCTTATCTATAAACATCATTATTGAAAAACAAATAATACCTCCAGCAAGACTTAGCCATTTGTCATAAAACTAGAAACATGGTCAAATTTTACTGTAATAAACGCAATTTTTTTTTTGTAATTAAGTAATGCATTTATACCTTGAATGATGGCCTCCAACCCAAAGGTTTAAAGTATGCAACGTGAAATGTACATAAATTTAATAATGCGTATGCCGATAAATAAGTAGTGGAAATTAATGATGCAATACTGTTTAGGTCACCTATAACATTTTTCATTGAATAATTGTAAATATTTACAAAGAAAAATCATTACGTTAGGTCAGTTGAATGATAAGTTATAAACCGAGTTTTAGATCATTATATGCATTTTGTTTTCTCCGAAATTAACAAGTAAAGTTATTTTATAAGTAACTTACGGTTTACACGTTTAAATATTTGTGTATTATACGGACTACACTTAAATAAACTAAAATAATATAAAATAAATCAAATATTATTTTGTAAACTATATTAATTTATTATATTTTATCAATTAATTACACTTGTATTACCTATAATAAGTAATGCGGATGAAAGAATCATGGAAAGCACATGAGCACGGTAGGGTTCATTAAATTGTCCATAGCCTTTTGCTAAATATTTTAATAGCGGATAAACGTCATCTTGGCCCATTCTTTGCAAGAGTTTCGGAACGGATACTAATGCTGTTAAAGCTGTGCTTAATGTTGCTCCGAAGCAACCGAAATATATACAAGTCGGCGATAATGCGATTGTCTGGAACAACTAAAAATATAAAGAAATATAAATGTATTTACAATTATAGTTTTAGCGATATAATTCATGGTGAAATTAACATTTTGATCGTAGAGTAATCCTTTGCTGCAGTTCCTCGATGAACAGTTTAAATAAGTACCGTTATTAAGAATATATTCATCTACAATACCACTTGCTTCCCTCAGCTGAACCGCTCCAGGCACTAATATTAATATAACATATGAAGTTATAGTAATGACGATCGACAATAGAGTTCCCTTTGGTATAGAAGTACTTGGGTCCTAAAAATGTATCATTTTACATGATTGTGTTTTGGGTATAAATATTATGAATATTATAATTGAGCGTACCTTGAGATCTCCTGATATATTTGCCCCGGCTTGAATACCAGTAACAGATGGAAAGAAAATGGCAAAAATTGTGAAAAAAGAGTGATGGATGTTGTTCTCAATATCAAATCTATAATCTGAATACCAATTTTTTCTAAACGTATCCACTGAAATGCAATAACAAAATTTAATTTTTCAAAAATAATCATTTAGTGCTGACAATTATTTTACTGCTGAATCCGGTGAAGCCTGATGCTTTTGCGCTAATACTGGTTGGTCCTATACATGATCCAATTATTACGTTGAAAATTCCAATGATTATTGCTATTAAAAGTGCATTTTGTACCTGAAACATTTTTTTATACATTTTTCGATATTTTATATTGTATTATACGTATACAGACTTCAGCTTCTCTATCCATCCCAATGCAACAAAGTATACTCATAGTTATTATAGATACAACTCCTAACGCCCTGAATTCAAAATTTCCGTCTAATATGTTTATGTTGTACGAATTCAACATTAATTTTAATGATGAGCAAAACCCAATCGTGTTCATGGCCGCTGAAATGATGTTGGCAAATGCCAATAAAATACCAATAGATCCTCCAAATTCAGGACCGATTGATCTGGAAATGATAAAATAAAGACCTCCTAAAAAAAATCATATTATTAAAAAAAAGGAATTAATAATTTTTTGAAACAATTTATTACTCAAAACTTAACTTTTAAAATGTATATATTACAAATTAAAGTATTAATTTATACAACCAAAGGAATCAATTAGATTTATTGACTTTGAAAAAATAATTAAAAATAATCGGAAAAGTAAAAATTATTACGAGAAGAGCCGAATAAGTTATAATAATGATTTTAATGATTAAAATTAAAAGGGGAAAAATAAAAACTGAGAATTAATAAATGTATTAGTAAGTTCATAAAAATATGTGATGATATCAACAACATATTTAGGTGTCACGTAAACATGAAATATTATAATTAAAAACATGTTTTCGTATTTTACTAACTTTGGCTACTGATTTATAAAGCGTAACAGAAGCCAGAATGGCCATAAAAGTTAATTAATAATTTTCGTTTTCTTCGATGGTTTGTTTTATTTTTTACTTTAAAATTTATTTACTCACTATAAATTAATTTTAAAATATTTAAATTATTACATTTTCAGTTATAACATCTAAACCAAAACGTAAATGTTGAATCTATCAAAATAAATAAATAAACAAATCTACAATTTCTTTTAAAATGTCATACCATCAATGAAGCATATCTCCACGGCTCGTTCAAGTGACTGTTAAGCCTAATGTATACATAGTGTTTATGTATTTATTAATATAAAATATTTACCTAACGTGTTGTATATTAAATAATTTAGTATATCAAATAAAATACAACAAGAAACCTACGTTTACATATATTACAATAAATTTAATATTTAAAAACACGAATATAATACGGTCGATAATTATAACTATTATTAAGACTATTAACATTAATATATATATATATATATTATAATGTAAGTTTCAATGTTTAATTAATCTGGAGTATTATTAATGATATTAATATAATAAAAATAACTACCTCCTTTTATTTTTCCATTCGTACTGATTGCAGACAGTGATAAAGTAGTGATAAGAATAATAATCAACGAAATGAAAATGATCACTATGGAATTGAGTATTCCCGCTTGTCCTAAGATCCATGGCATTCGTATAAAAAGCATCACGCCCCATATACTGAGTAGACATGGAACCAGTACACCTTTGATCCATCCCAATTTTATTCCAGGACTCTCTTCTGCTTTGATTTCTTCGTCGTGAATCAATTCATTGAAAGATTGTATCTGTAAAAACTGTAATAAAACCATGTACGTGTACGATGTATGTGCATATTATCCTTACAAGCATGTGATATTGCCACTTTTGGCAATTGGCCACCTCCCTAAAATATGATTTTTAGTTCAATTTGTAATATTATTACATTATTATAACTTTGTTTATAAAGGTCATAATATAGTTCAATTATGTTGATGTATAACTAAACAAATTTTGTTTAAACCTACATATAAATAACGTATACTTTAGAATTTCTCAACATTTAAGATAAAATATAACGCTCCTATTATTAATTTTTTTTTTTTTTTTATTCAAGTCTACAGTGTAAACAATTAAGGACATGATTAAGTCAATATGTCGTTTCTTTATAGATAAATAACAAACGACACTGTACACAATATGTGTATATTTCACGTGTAAAATTATCTTAATGTTGACGATTTTTAAAAAATAAGGTTAATTTCAAGTAAATTTTTTTTTCAAATAAAAACATATGTATTTCAATCTCACAGTCACAGTCGTGATAGATATCGTGAAAAAAATACATCCCTATTCATTCATATAGACTTTTTCCATTTTTTATTTTTTTTTTTTATTTTTTTCATACAAACAAATACAATATATCATACAGATAAACATAAAAATATATGTCGTATAATGACTTAACTATTTAAAAATCCTTGAATTTAAATTTAACACATGACTCTCGTGCGTGGTTTATAAAAATATTGATTTTAAACATAATACGTTATGTAGTACCTTATACGAAGACGTTAATTGTTAAATAATAGTCATTTAAAATGTAAATAGGTAAAATATAAAAAAAAAAGTTATAATTTACTGTAAAATAAATATCAAATTTTATATTAGTCACACACATATATATCTATTAAAAATAAAAGTAAATATTTTTACGGTACCTGATCGACCCAGAGATGATTGTTACTTTTTAATTTATTTTCTTTGTGTCCATTCATGTTTGCAAGCTGACAAAATGATGACAACTACATTTATATTTGAAAAAATGAAATTTGAAGTATACAATAATTGAGTTATTATTCAACTAATTTAATTACTTTTGAAAACCATATACGCCACGAGATCTTCACGGTAGATAGACGCGATAGGATATTTGACCATTAATCATATATTACATATATTACAATATTATATACATTTCTCCTGGGGCTAATAATTTTTATCAAGTAGTTGAAGTAAAGTTTAATAATAATGCTGCACGATATGAAGGGTTACAATTAATTTGTATCATCACTGTAATGTTTTTAATTAAGTAAATTATAAAATTAAATAAATTAATTGTGCAATTCATATATATAGTAACAATTATTTAACAAAAAAAATACATCAAGTTGTTTCGTATTTTTATTACATATTATAAAATTATAATATTATGCAGTATAGTTACGTTTATCTGTATATATGTAAAATAATATGTAAACATAAGGTAAAACTAAACAGATAACATATTTAAATATAACGAAGTTCATAAGGTTAGTATTTATTTTTTTTCATTTCAATTAAGAATTTACAACTTAACAGAATTTTTAAGTTAATTTATATTTTAGTGTTGTTATAGTATTATAGTTAAAATATGAGTAATTTTTTTATTTAAGGAATATTTAAAGTCTGTTCATTAAATAATACGTAAATTTGAAGCCAACTTTTTTTTTTTAAAAATAATGTACTAGTATGAAGATATTTTTATTGCATTTGAGTTTTTAATGGACATTCTTATATTTTTTATAGTTGGTTGATAAAATTCGCTCAAATGATTAAGAAGATTCATGAATTACAGTTCTTCAGACTTGAAAGTCAAATTCTGTCAAGATCATATAGGCATACGACCGTGCTTTAATCAATATATAACCAATATAAAACTAACTGAATAAATAACATAATATAATAACTAATTATGGACATTAAAATTATAAGTTAAATTAACGGCTTCAAATCTAAAGCTGTGAACCATATGAATCAACATAAAACTTTAATGTTAGATAAAAATTAACATTTGAAATATATCTATTGCCTATAAATGTATACATAATATTATAAATAATTTATCATGTTCTTAATGATTAATGAAACAAATGAATGGACATTTTTATAATCATAGCTTTCAGTATTATAAGATTTGAGACACATTTTTTGTTCAATTACATAAACCTTCTAATGTATCAACCGATCCAATAGTTTTTACAATTTTGTAAACTGTAATTTACATTTTGTTAAAATAATATATAGTAAACTTCGAATAACAATTTTATGAAAACTGAAATTAATGTTTTGTTAACACATTAGTAGTATTTATATATTATATTATAATATAATATTAAATTATTTACTTACGTATCTATTATATATTTTAATTTTTTTTTAGCTATATTATGATAAAATATAATCTACACATGAGTATAGTAAGTAAATTTAAAATATAGGATGAAGTTAAAAATACGTGTGGTTGAAGGTGTGGTGGAAGTCATACATTTAAGACATATCTTTATTGTACATTTTATAATAAAAATCAGGTATTCAATAATCTAATCCGTTAATTATTGATACGGTCCTTTGAAAAAATTACAATAAAAAAACTTTAGATCGGGAATAAAATAAAATAAAATAAAATCTTTAATCAAATGTTCAGTATCGCCGAACTAAATAATCATTTTTATTATTATTATTATTTAATAATATATAATATTTTAAGTAATTTTTTACCAATTAACTATGGAGTTCCACAAGGTACAGTGTTAGGACCTCTATTTTTTATAATTTATATAAATGGTTTATTGGGCTTAAATTTAAATGCTAATATAATAAGTTTTGCTGATGATACCTTAATTTTAGTCAGTGGTGCCTCAAATAATATAGTTAATATATTAGCTACATTCGTACTAGAAACTATTAATAACTGGTTCGTAAATAATTTACTTGAACTCAATATTAAAAAATCAAAGTATATGTTTTTTGAAATTTATAAAAATAAAAGTTTAATATACTATCCATTAGTGTTACACAATTCAAATTGTAATAGGTCCTTAGATTCTTGAAAATGTGATAAGCTTGAACATGTTGAATCAATTAAATACCTTGGGGTGATTTTTGATAGAAATTTAAGGTGGAATTTGCATATTAATCATGTAGTTAATACTATACGAAAATTGTTTTATAAATTTAAATTGTTAAAAAATATCCTCAACATCAAAACCTTGCGTACAGTTTATTTAGTACTTATACAATCTATTATTAGCTATGGCATTGTTATTTGGGGAAATGCATCAAAGTTTGCTTTAAATCTACTTATTATTACATTAAACTCACTGTTAAGATTTATACTATTGAAACCGTATGATTTTCATGTAGACGACCTTTACAATACATTTAATGTAAGAAATCTCAATGGCTTATATATATGGAATATCCTTAATTATATTTTTAATTCAGATTTAAAAAATAATTACCCGTCACATAGATATCAAACACGTCTTAAAAAATCAGTGAATCTGAATATGCCAGTAATCCATAAAGAATTTGGTAGAAAAATGGTTATTAATGTCGGTATTCGTTTATGTATTGTGCTTAATATTAATTTAAAATCATATAAAAATAAGTATCATTATAAAAAATATTTAAAACATCTAAATCTAAATCATATTATATTATAAACAAAAACTTGAAATTATTTTTTCTATGATATTTATCTATATGAAATATGTTTATATTTTGCTTATTATAATTATGTATTTAAAATAGAAGTACTTATTATATGTATATTATAGACAAATGGTAATATGTTAGTTTTGTATTGAACTTGCTGCACCCACCACAAGCTATGCTTTTGGGGCGGCATCAAAATTGTTTTACTTTTAATTATTGTTAATATTTATGTATGTAAAATATTGTTTTGACAATAAACTATTATTATTATTATTGATCGACTGTCAACGAGTGTGATTACGATTATACCATCCGATAATTCACTCGATCGATAGCAATATATATCTAAAACTTGTTTATTTAATGTCTAGTCACTAGTCAGAACACCCGAATCATTCGCGCGGTGCATGACTCAGATCTGTAATTCATGTATAACCTTGATGAAAATTAATAAAATATAAAATCTAATTTAATAGGCAAAAAGTGTTAGTTTATTATTTATAATACTCACTTTGACCCCTACACCAAATTCAAACAAATTAATATTATGAAAAAGAAAAAATACAAATATTTTAGTGGTGAAAATTTGAAAAGCAAATTTGTGCCTCATAATTTATTTATATTAATAATTTTACGGACATTATCATGTCAATATGAGGACATTATTAAATAATAGTTGCATTTAATAAATTTATAAATATATCAGTGTAACAGTAAACAATAGTGAAAGATAAAAGTTTAATATTTATTCAAACTTATGCACTAGCTGTGACGGTTTGTATTTTATTTCCTTGAATTATAACACACGGTGGTAACCCACTTGTAACAACTTCTAACCAGTACAAATGCATTTGCTCTAAAACTTCTTGAGACTCGAAAATTGATCTATAAATAAAATACATAATTTTTAATCATTATATTTTATAATTAAAATGTATATATGCTCAAATATATAGATAGAATTTTAACTTACATAATAATGAAATCAGATTGCATTGAATATGTTTCCAATAAGTCTTTAACGTATAATGAATCAATCAAATGCTGCTCATTACATTTATCAATGATTTTTTTAATTCCTAAACAGATAAATTTAATACTATAATTCATTTATAAATAAAAAAAATTATCACTCACCTTAAATATTTTAAATAATAAGTAATACCAAATAAAATAAACAATGATTTTCTAATGAACGGTATTTAATATAAATAGAAACATTTTTTTACTTGTGCATTAAAACTGATTAGGTTTGAAATATGTTAAATGGCAATTTGAAAATGTATCATCTTAGATACTGCAGTCAGCTTTTTATTTCATTATCATAAATGCATTTTCAATAAATGTTAACTTTTTCTGAGCCGACTACAACTATTTTATTTACACATTTTTCAATTTTTATTTGGCGTATTTATACGGATACTTACAGTTATATCTCTTTTTGTACTTAATATATTGCACATTTTATTATGAAATAAAAATATTTGCAAACTTAAATTAAGAAAAAAAAACAAAGCTTTCCTAGATTACGTTTTGATTGCAAATATTTACCTATGATTACTGCTTTTAAATTGAATCACAACCACCCTAACTTCGTACCTATTTATTTTATTTTTTGTTCACTGTATTAAACTTTGAACAGGGAGTAAAATATGGCATCCCATTGCAGTGATAAAACTTTGTACCTTATTCATCTCCAAAGGCCAACTAGGGTGACGTAAGAGTCTTTAGCGCCCCTGAGTTCAAGTTTAGCAACCCTAGATTTTTTTATTAGTACAATCTACGAGTATAATATTCATAATGAAATGCCTTAAATTTTACTTTCAGCAATTTCAACACCCCCAATACTTAGGAATCAGTTGTAACCTATGCTCATCTCTTATGATAGGTAACTCTTTTATTTTTCTTTATTGCTCTTTAATAATATAAATAATTGTAAAAACTTGATTATTCGGTCATATATATTATCTTTATACCTATATATATACATATACATTCATTTTTACCTTTATTAACGAATTTCTCATTCACTAAGGTGGTAAAAGTTGTCATGGTTTTTAAACTTGTAGCATTAGCTAGTACAACATCTATAAAATCAAACTGAATTCGATACAATGATAACAATTGTTTTAACCTAAAAAAAATTTTTTTTATATTTATTGGTATTATACATATTATTATAAATTGTATTATAATAAATTGTTCTTCCTAGACAACAAAGTTATAGTATTATATAACAATACTCCAGAGACACAAGTTATTAAGGTTTAAATTATTGAAGGTTATTAATTTCCAAAGCACATATACAATTTTTATGTATAAAAAATGTTCTGCCAAAGTTTTATTCTACACTGTTCTCATATTTATAAAATAATAAATTTAATGTTAATAATAAACATTTTATAGGTTTTACAGTTTTAATTTTGAATCCAATCAGAAAAATAATTAAATTTACCAATAAAAATAACATATAATACAATATTGCTTGATATTTTAAAACCATTTTAATATTAATATTTAAGTTTCAGATAATTTTTTAATAAAACAGTATTATAATTTATTAATTTTTTAACCAGATAATGACAA